CTAATGCAGGATTCTAATACCACAGCATCCTATCCATTCAGGGATCTTGGGTTATTACAAATCCAAAACTATTTTCTAGACCTTAGTCTTCCTGGAATATGAATCAGAAAGACCAGGATTTTCAGTGGAAGGTATGCTACATGCTCAAAAGGGAAAGGTGGGTGGAATCAAAGGAGAGCTCTGGAATGGCTCATGGCCCAGCAACCACAGAGAAACAGTAGTACTTTGGGGTGCCGCAATGGAAGAGGCTGAGGCTACTGTCCCCTTTGGGTGCTAAGGTAGATTGTAGTGGATGTCTGCTACTTCTGCCTATGTTGTTTCCAGCTATATGACCTAAACAATGTCAAGCCCCCCCTTTCTTCCCACCCTTTTTGTGTGCTTATAAAGTAGTTCAAATTTGGTTCCTGTCACTTGCTACCAAGAGTCCAAAAGTTTCGATCTGGTTCTGTCTCTGCCTTCAGGAACCACGCGCTTAAACAAAGAAAGCCTACGAGCTGTGTGAGTGGAAGGTCCCATGGGATAAATAGAGACAGACTTCCTTATGGAGAGATTCTTACCCAGACACCTGTACCCCTGGTGTGAATGTGGGGCCAGTGCAGGCGCTCCAGAGCACGTGTTGACATAAGATTAAGTTGCACTGGGATACTCTACTTAAGAGCTATTTTGATTGAAAGAACAAACTAAAAAATACTAACTATAATTATAGCTCATTTCCTTCAGAGTTATACCTTTTTGTGAAGGTGACTTGAAAACAAGAATCTCCCCTTTGTGTGCAAATGGAAATGGGATCCGAGAAGAGTGCACACTTTGGGTCACAGCTTCTGGCATTTCCCTGTTCGCTGCCTTTATTGCTCTCAAAAGAACAGAGTGCTTACATTTTTCTTTGTTTATGTCACAATTCCTTTATCAGCGGTTTCCTTTAAAAAAAAAAAAAGTCATTTGGTTTTCTTTATCTATTTTTAAAGAGCCCAGCAAATTTCAAAACCATCTTGCTACTCTGCTGACCACTAAGCTTCTACTCCTGCTAGCATGAGTAGCTTGATCAAGTCCAACTGCGCTTGAGGCCCCGGGTGTCTTTCTGTCTCTGGCTCACTGGGCGTTTTCACGTGGACAGAGTGTGAAGGGCTAGGCCTGCAGGAAGCCACACAAACACTCTGACACACTGCCTTGCAAAATCTCCCTGTGAGCCACGTGGAATGAAAAGTCCAATCTTCATTTCAGCCTGCATGAAAGAGCCCAGTGGTCAAGGACGGCGACCCGCTGTGCCCTGGACAACCCCTCCTGTGACCAGTGAAGGCCCTCTTCTATAGGAAGCACAGGAGTGGCCAAGGGAAATGCTTGTCCGGGCTCCTCGGTTACCCACAGGCCCCTTCCTGCTGCTGAGCTGGGCCGGAACAACTCCACTGCCAGGCCACTCGAAACCTGCAGAGCCATTCCAGTGCTCCATGGAAGAGCATAGAGCACCCATTGTCATGTAAAATTAGCCTGGGCAAAGCCCCAGAGAACATACTGTTGGATGCCATCCTGTCCTCCCTGCACAAGGGCATGTGAGAGATAAAAATGGTGCCAACGCCTACTGTGGGGCATCAGTCTTTTCCCGGTTCCCTACTATCCTGCTCCTACTTTGAAGCTCTCTCCTGCCCTGGGTTCATTGATCACATTTTTTCCCAGAGGAGCCTAGGAAAAGGAAGGCTCCTGGTGACCAGGAAGAGCAGGGACAACCCAAGGAGTGGATCCAGTGGCCTCCTATTTGCCAACACTCCACCGAAAGCACATCTTCACACCGAATTGGCAGATTCATTTGGCTCCCCTTCCAGGCTTGCCTCTGTCCCACAAATGTCTGCTCTGCCCAAGATCACCTTTCAGCCTGATAACACAGAATAAGGCCACTGACTGTCTGGTCATGCCCCTGAGGCCTTTCATGCAAAGCCAAGAGGACTGACATCCTGCATAATACCTTCCCCAAGAAGGCTGCAGGTTTCTCTCTACTCCTATGCAAAACACGGAGCTTGCCAATGGCAAATTATTCTGACCCAGGAGAGCCAGCTAGAGCCAGGACAACTTTTTTTATAAGCTTCTCATCAATTACTTTTTATTTTCCAAGTTGGACACACCTTGTGGAGCAAGGCTAGAAGCGGAACTACCCTCAGAGAATACTCTGGCAGTGAAAACACCAGGGTGCTAAATGAAACATTTGGTGGGGGGGAGGGTTGCTCTCCCCACCAACTTCTCCAACAAGTGGGCCTCACAAGCCACAGCAAGGATTAATATGAACACTGTCATTTCTTGGCAACTCAGGCTGAATTTTCCAGGACACAAAGGCATGAGGTGTTCCATCATCTTGATCATTTTTATGGCCAGTGGGGAAGTAGAAGGGAACAAACTATCAATGCACCAAGCTATGGAACAGAGGAAACTATAAAACACTCGTGATCAGGAAAGTCCTGGATCAAAGTGACTGGCTCTTAGAGATGCAAAAATAAATAAATAAATAAATAAATAAATAAATAAATAAATAAATAAATAAATAAAATTGGTCTCCTTCAAAATAAGAAGTGATGATGGAGCCTCCAGCAATAGGTCTAGAAGTAAGTCTTTCCCAGGCTTGAAGAAGTGTGCAGCATTTCCCATTAAGCAGCCAACACTCAAGACAAAGTGTCATCTAGGAAACTGACTTTGCTTTACAAACTAGGGGGAAATATTGGAAGGAAATAAATCAAAATATGCACACTAGTTGTGCCATGATGATGAGATTATTGGGTATTTTTTTCATTTCTTTATTTTCCTAACTTCCTTTGTATTATAATAATTCATAACTTTTTCAGTTTCTTAAAAGAACCCCCTTATTTTTTTCAGCATGTTCACTACCCAAACAGCCAATTAAAAAAATTTAGCACTCATTCTTGACTCCTTTGTCTTCTGCTTAAATATCTCAATGCACATGTCCTCTCCACCTCCCCCTTCTGGTCCCCACTGCACACTGGGTGCCATGTCAGTCCTCTTTCCTGGCCATTATCCTCCCCTAAATGGCTTCCCCATTGCTGGTCTCACGAGGCATTCCGTCCATCCTCCAATGGCAGCCAGAGTGACTTTCTAAAATAGAAACCCCGTCATGTCACATTCCTGCTTAATTTCTTCAACAGCTCTTCATGGCCTCCAGGAGACAATTTAAATTCCTCTGTGTAACATGCAGGGCTCTTCAAAACCAAATGTGCTGAGCTCTTCAACTTCATCTCTCATTCCTCAACAACCTTCCCTGTGGTCACTACCACTTGGGGTCCTCCAGGTATCCTATTCCAGCTCTGGGCCTTTATACAAGCCACAGCCTTTCCCTGAAATGCCCCACCTCTCACCTGGGCAGCCTCCCAGGCCTCCATAAAGCTCAAGCATCCCATACTTTCCCCACCTAAGGAAATGCTGGTGGCCAAACACTTTGTCCTGACACTGGGCCTGCCCACATCACAGCACTGTACACACAGCTTTGGAGCTACTATGACTATTTTCATCTTTCTCACTAGACTGCGGGGTCCCAGAGGACAGGGGCCCAGTTGGATTCATTTCTGGCCCCCAGCACCTGGCTTCTATAGTACTCGGTGAAGGCAAGAAGTTTGGTAAATACTTGTCGATTTCCGAAAAGGAGTCAGTCAAGGAATTAAAATGCAGCTTTCTGCCATAGTTGTTATATTATTTAGAACTGCAACATCTACTTTACCATAATTAGAATTTTTTTTAAAAAAATTTTGTTGTCTAAGATACTTAAGAAAGGCCAGACCACATCAAATATCTATTGGTTCCCTGATTCTAGGCTTTTTAATCTAACACTGCTTACCCAACCCCCCAGGCTGGCCCAGCCCCTTTCGCCAGCCCACAGGTGTTTGCAAGGAAACTATGAAGAGAAACCTAGAGGAGTTTTGTTGCCTGGGTTTTGGTGTAGCTGGGCTCCCGACCTCAGCTGGCAAAAGATTATAGGTGTCAACACTGTATCACAGGAGGGTTCCTGTTTTGAGAAGTATCTTCTCCTTATAGAAGTATCCATCATAATTACAGAAGCCCTAATTCAATCTCTTTGTGCAGTCACAGATCACTGACTCCTTGACAGAGGATAAGGTGAAGTTATAGAGAAGCTTGAAGCCAAGGTTGCAGAAGCTACTACCAAATGAAGATGAGCTAGAAATGTAGATAAAACATCCCTGAAATTAGAATGTGTGTTAGAAACTAAGGGACTGTTTGCACACAGCGAAGGGTCCAGAGGCTAGGTTCTTCGTACCCATCCATCCATTCGCTGTGTGACCTTGGGTAAGTCACCCAACCTGTTAGACCCTCACTTTCCTCAGTAGAGTTCGTGTCTCTCCTAGGAAGAAATTGTTTCCAAGCACTAAAAGTCTTTGCACTTAAAGGTAGAAAGGTAAAATACCAGGGCCAGTGGGGAGAAGGGTATGACTGTATATCCTTGGGCGGAGTTCTCAAGCTCTTTGAGCTTTGGTTTCCTCATCTGAAAAATGGGGTTTATATTTATTTATTTATTTACTTACTTACTTTTTTTAAAGATTTTTTTTATTTATTCATGAGAGAAAAGAGAGAGAGAGAGAGAGAGAGAGAGAGGGAGAAACAGGTTCCATGCAGGGAGCTCGATGTGGGACTCCATCCCAGGACTCCAGGATCATGCCCTGGGCTGTAGGCAGGTGCTAAACTGCTGAGCCACCTAGCGATCCCCACTTATTTTTATTTATATTTATTTTTTGAGAGAGAATGAGCACAAGAGCAGGCTGGGAGGGAGCGGGAGAGGGAGAATCTTGAAGCAAGCAGACTCCCTGCTGAGCGTGGAGGGCTCCCTCTCACCACCCCAAGATCACGACTTGAATCGAAATTGAGGTGGATGCATAAAATGGGGTTTATAAATGGAACTTCCAGAGCTATCGGGAGGAATAGAAAGCTGCATACACGTGGTTATGACTGGGTTTTGAGGCCACAGGGCACAGTGATTAAGGATGCAGACCCACCTGGTTTCAGATTCCAGTTTTGCTGTGTCACCTTGAGCCCTTGAGTTAGCTTCTTACTCCCTCTGAGCCTGTTTCTTCCTGTAACAAATGAAGATAACGGTTGCGTGTACCTCAAAGGGTCATTGTGAGGATTAAATAAAACCAGTGAAAATAAATAAGTGTAAGGGCAGCACCGCAGATCTAGCAGACAGTCCCTTCACCCCTCCTCTTGTCTAACAGGTGCACCAGACCAGGTGCTCACCCCACTCCCACTCCTTCAGCTCCCTCCCCCTGAGGTTATAAGGGTCCATCCTTCCCATCCTTCAAGAAGGAAGAGGAAAGCAAGGTCACTGATGACAGCGGAGGGGCCCAAGGTGACCTTGGAGGCACAGAGAAAGCTGGCCTGGAACTCATCTGCCCTCAGAGCCCGCAGGTTCACCCCGCCTAACCTCCCTTGGTTTCTGAAGCTTAAAATAGCTTGAACCGGTGTGGTCACATTTTAGTGTGCCACTCGGAGAGAACCCCTGGGGTGTTTGCAAAGCCAGCTCTGCACTTCGCACTCACCAAGCCCCAGTTGTGAGTGATTCATACACACTGGGCTCCACCAGGCCTGCCACGCAAATGTGCTCTGAGTGCTTGTCTGCTAAGGCCCCTCTGCAGGGACCTCTGCCTCCTGACAGGGGTCGGGCCAGCCGGCTTCTGTAGCAAACCGAGACTGGGAAGCCGTGCCAGCTGCCGGGCTGGCTGATGGGCCCTAAGTGGAGGACCGCATGATGGGGAGAAGCTTGCATGGGGTGTCAGGTGTTCTAGATCCAGCGCTGCCCGTCCCTGTTGTGTGACCTTGAAGGAGTCACCTCGCTGGACCCTTAAGAAGCGTCCTTCTAGATCTCAGATTGACTCTGTTCTGCACTAGGCACTGGCTTCATTCTCAGACCTTATCTGATGTCAAGAGAGCTTCCGGCAGCTCTAAACCAACTCTTCTCATGTTCACATCCGACAGGAAACAGCTTTTCTTCCCCCTCAATGACCAAACCAAATTCCTAACTCTTGTTTCCTGAGGGGGGGTGGGTCACAGGAACCGGCCCTCAGAGCCCTTCTAGGAATGCTTCCCTGGGCTACAAAGGCTACAACCTGAAAATCTATATCCCCGGCCTCCTGCTCAGCCAGGCAAAAGAGCTGTCACCTGTTAGATGTCCTTGGGTGAGATCTGGAAGGTAGCAGTGACCCGGGTGCCACTGTCTTGCTGCCTCGGTCATGGCTTCTGGACAAGGACCACTGTTCCCATGGACAATCTCTAGTTTCGCCGGCATTGAGAAGCTTTTGAGGCCTGGAGTATAACAACTGGGTACATTCTTGAATACTATGGTTTGGGGGTTGGGGGCTCTTACCTCTCTACCTTCTTACTTGATCTCTGGTGAGCAAAAGCATCTTTCCTGAAGACCCAGCCGGAGCCTGCTCTTCCAGCCTCCCAGGGACCTCATGAGCACCTATTCCCTTGCATAAAATATCTTTCTGCTTCAAAACTGCCAGTCATTCCCATTCCCTGTATCCAACTCCTGACAGGGGTACTATCCCTGAACCAGTCACCAGTCACGGGGCCGTAGGGAACGGACTGTGCTGATTGCCGGGGCCTTGGGCATGTGCTCACCCAGGAGGTCTGGGCTAGTCATCTCTGCCAAAAGATACAGACTAAGAATCGTTTCCTGAAATTACTATTAGTTGATATTGCCCAATCACCTAATAATAATTAAATTACAGTGATCAAAGAAAAGTGGGAATGGCTATTGGGCAACCAGAAAACAGCAAATGTCCACTGCATGTTCCAACCCAGATGTCTGGGTAAGAAACCCTGGAAGACAGACGTGGAATAGCGGATAATGTCGAGATTCTGTTCAAGCCAAAGCTGGGGTGCAGCAGACACTGGCAGGACCACGCCAACATCCCTTCCATATCCCTCCTTGGGTCATGTGTCCAAGCCCTGGCCCTGTGTGCTCTGCTTCTGGCCCGCACCCATGACTCACTCCAGAAGACTACTCTCTGTGACTACACCTACAGAGAACTGGGGCCACCCGGGAACCCACTTGGTCAGGTCAGCCCTTACAAAGTCCTGGCCCAGGACTGCATTCCCTCTGAGGGATCATTGACATTGCGGGGATCCACTGTGGGATCAGGCTGAGGCAGGGCTGTAACAGGAGAGTACACCTGCACTCAGCTTCTCTCGCTCCTTGTCCTGCTCCCCTAGTCCCTGGGAAGACTTCATTCATAAGGTATTCACACATAAGGCCGCATCTCAGGGTCTGCTTCTGAGGAACCTGATGCATATTGAAATGGCCAAGGGCGTTCACACCTATGACATCCTGGGTCTTTCTTTATTCTGGCGCACTTGGAATGTGACACCATCAATAGGGAGGTGAGTCCTACTTCTGAGCTAGGATTCTGGATGCAAAATGGTGTCCTGCTTTATAGAAAGGAGGTCACTACATGGGAAACTTTTTGTAATCCCTTCTTTGCCCCTCAACCAAGGCTATAGCTGTGCAAACATAGGAAGGAATCAATTAATCTTGGTTTTATTTTCACTGCTCCTTCCTTGATTAAAAATGCTAATCGTGACCAGAGGTGTTCACTTAAAACCCCAAGTTCCTAAATTAGCATTTGAGAAAAGGACCATTTTCCTTTCATTTACTGAAAAAAAAAAGATCACTGCTGAAGAAAGCCACCCTAAGGTGCAGGAGCTTCTTGGCAGCTCCGGTCCCACAGAGTTTCCTGAGGAAGTGGAGGTAGGGGACACAGGAGAGGCAAGCCATGGGGAGCAGGCAGCAGGATGGACAGGTCTCCTTGTGGCTCTGCTGGTGACAGATGAGGTGAACCAGCCATCATGAGACCACAGGACCTGAGTCCACTTCTTTGTCTACTGAAATGATTGCCTCATGGGTCCCTTCTAGCCCTAAAGTTCTCTATCCCCTTCAGGAAGGACGTCCACACAGCTATGTGACACTAGATTTCAATACTGCATATTTAATATTTTTTCATAGAAACCAGAGGGGAGTAGAAGCAACTTGCTGTATTGTGTCCTTTTATTTTTCTAAGAAGTGAGCCAATTCATTGCACCACAAGCAGATAAAAGAGAGAAAGGCTGACCTCACAATGTCCGAGAACAATTCTTGACCCCAGCCAAGAAGAACATTAGGAATTTCCTTCTTAGGCAGCTGTTCAGGTGTCAGTAACATCTTTGTCTCAGACCCATGCAACCCACAGTCTCGCTACCTCCCACCAGGAGGGACCATTATTTGGGACATGGCTATATTGTAAGAAAACCTCTGTTTGCCAAATTGGAGGTAGGGTAATTACAATTTCAGGACTTTGTGTAGGTGGTTTCCTCAAAGGCTTTCATTTATTTGCTGCTTAGTGTACAAGAAACCTCATTTATGTTATTTCTTTTTCTCCCAGGGAAGCTAACAGCTCAGTATAGCTAATGTACTATGTATCACTGACTTTAATATGGCTCCAGGCAATTTAATGCTAAAGCAATTTGATGATTTGATATTATAAAAAGCATCTATTTTTATTGAGAATGGAAGATCAACCACTCAAGTGTCCATCAGAAAATACTAGCTGCTAAAAGGCATTTATTTGTAAAGTGAGGAAGGAAGGGGGAGAGAGGGAGGGAGGAAAAGAGGGAGGGAGAGAGAGAAGAAGGAAGGAAGAAGAAGGAAGAAAGAAGGAAGGAAGGAAAAGAGGGAGGAAGAGAGAGAGAAAAGGAAGGAAGGAAGGAAGGAACGAAGGAAGGAATGAAGGAAGGAACGAAGGAAGGAAAAGAAAGACAAGTTTACACATGCTGCTGAATTTTAACATCTGGCAGACTAGCCTGACAGTGTCCAGTAGAAATATGATGTGAGCCACATGTATAGTTGGAAAGTATCTAGTAATCATACTAAAAAATGTTAAAAAAAAAAGTTGAAACTACTTTTTTAAAAAGATTTTATTTATTTATTTGAGAGAGAAAGTGTGAGACAGAGAGTGCATGAGCAGAGGGGAGGAGCAGAGGGCGAGGGAGAAGCAGACTCCTTGCTGAGCAGGGACCCCACCATGGGGCTTGATCCCAGGACCCTGAGATCATGACCTGAACCGAAGGCAGACACTTAACCAACTGAGCCACCCAGGAACCTGAAACTACTTTTAATAACATATTTTATTTGACCCAATACATCCTATAACCTCACCTAATATATTGGAAATGAAAATATCATTTCAACATGTGATTGATATAAAAACTATTAATAAGCCACATTGCATTCTTCCCCCCCCGCCCCCAATTTCTCTAAGTCTTCATAGTTCAGTGTGTTTTTTGCACTTGGAGCACATCTCAACTTGAGTTTGCCTCATTGCAAGTTCTCAACCGCCATGTGTAGCTACGAGGTCAGACAGCGCAAGTCTGATAGAGTGTCCTCACTGAGAGGACACCAATGATCCGTAATCATCAAGTTGGATGGCCTCTTCTCATACCCAAGCCTCCTCTGAGTTCTCCTTGAAGTCTCTGCTCCTTAAAGCACATTTGACTGCCTACTCCTTAACACTGTGTCCTTCTCTGATTTACAAAACCCAATATGCCCTGTTCTTCTCCTATCCCTCTGTTGTACTCACAGAGCTCTTGCTGCCTTCAAAGCATAAACTGTCAAGCCGTCAAGCTGCCTGCGTGTCTCTCTCTCTCTCTCTTTCTCTCCTTCTCAACGGCTCTCAAAGCCAGGCTTCCAGGCTGGACCTGGCCCCCTAGTTCCAGTCATAGATTCCCAGTTGCCTGAAGGATATCTCCCCCTGACATGTCTCAGATCCTCAGACCAAATATTCTCGATTAATCATACCTTCTTCTCCTACCCATGCCAGCTTTCCCCCCCAATCTCATGTCAGCATCACCACTGAACAAATACTTAATGAGCACTTACTATGTGCCAGCTATGAGGATAAGCAGTGCGGTGCTGGTGGTTGTGGTGATGGTGATGAGGATGATGGTGATAGTTCGTGTTGGTAGTGGTGATGGTGATGGTGACAGTGATGGTGGTGATAAAATTATGTCTTTCAATGAACTAAAAATGAAGTGCTAA